AGCAACTACAGAAAAGTAGTTTTGCTTTACTGGATCAAAGAAATTCGGAATATTTTGTTCTAGGCTCCACATGTCTGTAGACTATGAAAACTTACAGAACGGGTTGCAGCTACGATCAGAGGCGAGATTCCAACCCCAGTCAGATTGGTTCACATTCACACGCAGTGATCAATTTTGATCGGTCCTGTCACCAATCAGACCGTTTCCTCTCAAAAGGTAAAGCACGGGTTAGAATTATACCGATATGATCCACATTCACAAGAAAGAACCAAGTCACAATGAGTTCCACAGCACTTTCCACTAAACACTATTAGTTACCAAGTTGTTCCGCCATCCTTTGCTCCAGAAGGTTGGCTGGCAATGTTGGGCACATGTCACCCAGGGACGCATAGATTAGCAACTCACCGAAGGCGCGGTGATGCATCAATTGCCTTCGAAAGCTGGCCAAATGATGGCCTATTAATTGGTTTTTCCAAACTACTTAAAAGTAGGATGATAATAGTCAGAAAACGTGCACATCTCCAGTATTTCTACTCACCTCACCAGGTGGTAAAACAGTGTGTCTAATTCACATGATTGCCTGAAAATTTGACAGGAGCCACATGAAGCACGTATTCTCAACCAGTAAAATGCGTCTACGTCCAAGCAACTGACTTTAGAGGTACCGACCAACAGCTCCTCCCAAATGGTAACATCTTTCATTACGCTGATGATGCACTGTTATGTGAGAATCATCACACTATTTGATCAGTTGAAAAACGTAGAAATCATTCATAAGCCACCATTTTCGGAAGTTCGGGAAATAGTCTGTGACCGTAATTATGATGCAAAGCAAAGTGCTCTGGATAGTTGTTTCGGAGTAAGAATAGATGTTATCAGAGCGTTAGTGGGGTACCGTGACCTTCTCCCATCTGAATTGCCCAGAATCGTTGGCATTGTAACCCCTGTTTGTCCGTTTAGCAATAATCTCGCTGGGCAGAGGTAGATTAAAATAACTTAAACACATACAACGGGGTTCCCTTAATTGTTCGACTGTTCTGATTTCAGAGAAAACTGTACTTTTGCTACTTTTCATCTTGTTCTTAATGTTCACCATTGTGTTGATGTCAACGCGGCGGGCTGAGTGCGATATCCAGGGGGATTCGAGTGGGGATCCACCACTTATCTTTGTCAGCGGACAGCAAAGTTCAGGTAGGCCGTTGCCATTTGTCCTCTGCTCATTTTGGATAAGAGTGTTTGGAGACTGATGAATCTTTCGAAAATAGAAACTGCACAAGAGAGAACAAAGTTTATACAACTGCAAAGTTTGTGGATATAAATATACACAAAACGAAATGTTATTAAAGTCATCCAATTCCTCCCCAATTTTCATGGTGGAAGTGTATGTCTCTCGATTTTATGACGGAAGCCCAGTGAGATAGTAATACCCTAGACACAACTTGCAGTATTTCATAAGATTATTCACTGGTTTCAGATTAAGGATGATACGCGTTTTATCGGTGTCACCTTTTAGGCAAGCACAGAGATCAAATCTACCCTAGAAGTGTTGTCTCGAAGCCAAAGATGGATGAGCAGCAGGAAGGAGAAGCTGTACCATACAGGAAAAAGACTGCCGCTTGTGGTACAAATTGAAACAAAGTTTTAACAAGCACCACTCATTCCGTTCAAGGATGATACGGCAGATCATTGATTTGGGGAGGTTGAATACCAATATCTCAGATTGGTTGATTTCCCACTGTAGAGGTTTTCCAGTGTTTGAAGCCATCAGGGTTTTTACGAAAAGGTTTATATTGAGCTGTTCACTCATGAAGGGAGTAACAAAGTTATGTGACTCGAAGTGGTGGAGGAGACCAGAGGTTCACTAATAAGTATCCTGCCGCACTACAGGACTCATACTAGGAACGGTCTCGTTTTGCTCCACGTGATGACGCTTTATACCATTAGGCACAACTCACAACTTCGAAACTGTTGTTCCAAACTGTACCAACTTTAAGTAGGTTACCGCACAGTCCGTATGAATTAAAATATTTTGGAAACTATCTGGGGACGTGTCCTTCGAAGAGCACATGATTTATGTGCAAAGTTTAGTGTAAACATTGCATCTAAATGAAGCAGTTTGCGTGTCATGCGATGGTAACTGCGCCGGACTGCTGCGTAGACGTACTATGGAATAAAAGTCAGAATCAGCGCTCACTACCCAACCAACTTGTAGTTGTGCGTGTCTCGCACCTCCATACTTACTTTCTATACTGACTCGACGTCAGTTTGTCGAAAAAGCAAACATAAAGACAAGTATACCAACCGTCGGTTGTCCTACACACGAAGTTTGAAGACTCCGTGTTCCAAATCAGTCAGGTCTCTAGGGGAACAAATGATTTCTCAGGCTTCTCAAGAGGAAGCCATCTAGCATTTGATTTGCAGTGTTTTCTAAGAGGGTGAACTATATTGGGAATAGGTTGATGTGTTCTGTTTCTAAAGAAGTTCTCCTATCCAGTTATGCAACTCAGAATTAATCCAAGGCCGGTTAAAATTCTTATCCTTAAATGACGAGACGTTCTGAAGCGACCTCCTGGAAACCTACCAATACGAATGTATATATATACATACATATATATACAAGTGTATAGGATAGTCACCCACAAGACCTATCCTAATAAGGTTTATGGGCCCACTAAGGCGAACGAGTACGAAGTTTGTTCAGTTCCACAATGTCGTGAATGCGATAGGGAGACTGATCCTATTCCGAGTGGGTCACCTATTTCTCAGCATTGAGACCCTGCGCCTACATGGGTAGACCTTCTCTGGACCTCTTTATTGTGTAGCATTTCCTTTCTTTCGATCTCACCTGGAAGCCCACCAATCAGCATGATGCTAGGCATCAGCAATCCTGACTTGCCTTCTCCACCAGACAAGTTTTTCCGTGATGCGGGTCTCGTCCAATCATGTCAAGTGGCTTGAACACAGCTTTTATACCAGACTGCATTCACCCACAACAGCGTTCGCTCTTCGAAGGATTCCGGTCTTTTGGAATTTGTCATTTTATTCGCTGCGAGCGGTTTTGCCCAGACATTTCAGGTGAACTCGTCCAAGAATCCAAGCATATTGTCCGTATGCCGTCCAGCTCTTTCTGTCTTACAATACTGAAGACAGCGCAACGTCCACACACGTTAAAATATTGGTATCTATGTCCCAACGATGATTACCCCAGACCCGGGTCTCATTGTGCCAAATACATCACTGGACTTCACATTTCATAAGTTCAATTTAACACGAAGTGTCCGATCAGTTTGTGGTGTATCGTCAAACAGCAGAAAAAAATAGCTCTCACATACAACCACTCACCTTTATGTATGGTATTTTATTTTGAGCTCCTGGTGTAGGCTGATAAAATTCAGTATAGGACACACAACGCGCGTTATACTGCATTACCCTTATCGTATTGTACAGCAACGTGCTACATTGTATAGTGTTACAATGATGCAAAAAAGAACTTAAAAACGATTCTAATATTTTCACATCAATCTCACCTCCAGTTCAAGCATGCTAATCTAGATCACTGCACACATTATTTTGTTTGGACGCGTACATTATTCCCCATCGGATTAGACTTTTAGGCATGCCACCAAAGTATTTTATCGAACTCAGTATTGATTTTCGAATGCAGTAGACAGACCGGAGGCTTTGTTCTATTTCATTTTAATGTACCCAGAATATCACTTGGGATTGGATGCTTTTTAGGTATCAGGTGACCGATGCGAACTGTGCCGTACAGTTTCATTCAGATGGTAGAAGGTTGGATAAGAAAGTGCTGTCATAAGGGCATTGGGAACTGACAAGCGGCTCTATTATTAGATTTTTTATGTTGGTGTTCTGTCATCGTAATGCGTCTGCCTGCATGGAAGCAATATATTAGTACAGAACAAAAACTTGTTTTTTTCCAGGTATGGAATCTCATATAGCGTTTGGCCACCAAGAGTAGGGCTTCTCTCATGTTGAGCACGCTCACACGCAACCCGGAAATAGAGTCATTGCACAAAGCGGCCAAAAGCTCCAAGTCTGTCGTCTGTTTGCGACGGCCTAACAACCCTGCATCAGCGGGAGATAGACAGCTGTCCATTACAAACATGTATTATTTGTACGACGATAAAATTAGGATTATTCTATTGCCGTCTTTGGCTTGCAAGGTTATAGACTTTGCTGGCTGGTGAACAAATTTAATTTTAAGGTAAGCCTTTTAAGGACCGAAATTTTGCGGTGCTTCTTGGGTCAGAAGCTTTCCTAGTACAGGGCAGAGCTAACATTTACTCGAGTTTTCCACTTACTTCTGTGAAGGATTCAATAGTTTGGGACACTTGAAGGCACCTAATTCACGTTAATTGGTATACTGGGCAAAGTTTAAACTGCTTTACTTCGGGCAGTGTATGTTGCCTTGCTAAATGAGTCACTTTCAGTATTTAAGCCAAGTTGTTTGTACCACCATAGGTTAGCGAGATTGGCTATCCGCTCTGCTCGACCCAGTTGGATCAGTCGAACATCTAAAGATCCCATCACATTAAGTGAAAGGCGGGACAACCAATAAAGTGTGTTGGCCACCAAAATTTAACCTTCACACTGAAGCACTTCGTAAACCTTCGAACATAAAATGTGCTGTATTTTAGTGACCGTTGAAAGCACAGCAAATTTGAGCAGTCATTGAATTGCTTTGTTAACGAGGGGAATATCAGGAGAAAATTCTCTCACATTTGACAGTCTAACGCGCATGTGCATGCAATTTTTCTCATGAGATATTTATCAAACCTTTTTGTAACATTCCCAATCTCTAAGAACGCATTTACGATATTTCAGCCGAATCAACTGACTTTCAACCCAACTAGGACGCCTCTTCCCTTAGGAATGTGCACTAGTGTTTTCATTTTTGCCCAGAAATATGCATTCATATACTGTTTTTTTTCGTTAAATGCTCAAAATTTCGCCTCCTTGCTGTCTTCTCCTCAAAATAGGTACTGGGTTGGTTCGCGTATTACTTGATTCACATCCAATGATCAACTGTGGTGCTGAACCGATCTATTCGATGCATGTGTTAGCCCTGAGAGAAGATATAAAGGAATCCTCAAAAGACTGGCTCATCAAAGCCAACATCTATCCAAAGGCCATTGACCAAGCTACGAAGGCATTCATACGCGAACTGGCTGTGAACATGGTGGATAAGGCCCCAATATACTGTCAAAAACAACCATTACTGTTTCGGCACTTGAACTATCTGGCTGCACTATTCCCAGAGGCAAAATTTGTTCACGTTCTGCGAGATGGAAGAGCAGCCATCGCATCGACAATTGAGTACGTACATATACATCTTGGTGTATCAAGACAGATATAAAATAGCACCAAATGAATCCTATAATTTCTCATTCTCTCTTCCATTCTACCAAGCAAATTAAGCGAGAACAGCTGTCAAAATCACCTGGTTACGGGCGTCACCAAACGCCCGTAATAACATAGCTGTCCACTTGTTTTCGCTCGGAAGTTCAATCCGGGTGGAAATCTGGCTTCATCGTGAATGTCCCTAAAGGGTCTGGAGTATCACTTTAGAAGCTGTTTAACGTCGGTATGAACATTTGTGTCTGCGCCCACGCCAGATTTATGGCCTACTACACTAGGATGAGCTCGAACGACAGAGAAATCAATATGGTGAGAAGGAAGGGATGTAGCATTTGACGCCAACCAGACTTAATCGCACTCTTCTCAAGGATTTTTGGTGACGTAATAAAAAAGTCACACTACATTCTACAGTTTCACTTCCAGAGGACCTAATTCTTACAAAACCAGTTCTCCGGTCCCTGAGAAAGACAATAACTTTGATCAAAACTGGAAACTCAAAGGCTGAGGTGTTTGGACTGGTTCATACCACTATCGCGTGAACACAGTCATACATTAATTCAGCTGAGCATACAGATTGTGAACGTGATCATTTGGACCATTAGTGCTTGGTAGATGCATTCATATCTGGCACGGTTGAAAAGTGCAGACCTATAATAGACATCAGAATGTTAAATTGCACCAAACTAGATCATAACCACCTTCGGTAGTCAGGACAACCTTTCCACTATGTTTTAAGAGTCCCATGAAATATCCAACCGGATGTGCTTACTGAAACCTTCCTCCCTATGTTGCCGCAACCCGTCGTTTTCTTTGTTTCGCCAGACATCTCGTTCTACCAATGACTCATTGATTCTAGATAGTGGGAAGCTGTGCTCAACGTAAACAATATACATCACAGCCCTTGGCCGAACAGTCAAGTTTTCAACCACTATCTGGATGGTCGTCAGTTGAAAGCTTTCTGAGGTTCGCGCGGTATACACTACTGATGTATCTCAATAAGGATGAAGCAGCTGAACAATTCTTCCCGGCTTTTCACCGTAGATCAGTTTCACTCGTTGACTCAGTAGAAATTTCGAACCCATCACTAAGTTCTGATCCTAGTTACGTGAAAAACTCCAGCTGGTCGTACCTAGCCGGAGTATGGAAGAGTGCCAATGTCGGTCCGAAATCGTTTGTTTGTCACTAGAGAAGCAGCGCGCGACGACCACGTGCCTGACCCACTGTTGTAAAGTACGGTGTGTGGGTAGTCTCCAGATTTTTAGATTCAGGATAAGTTCATCGTGGTTTGAGAGGTACTGTTTCCGCGCCAACGTGATTATTCTGGTTGACCATATGACATAAGTTTGACTCTCTGCAGAGTTATTGTGCACTGCATATTCATGGTCATGCTGACATTGGAGGCGAGTGCGTTAATACTGTCATAATAGTGCACGCTGTACCCATTTCATTCGTCAGGCTTGCAAAGGTAAATATCTTCACGCTCAGGCAAGAGGAATGGCTTGAGTTTTCCAGGCAGAAGGCAATATAACGTTGAATTCACCGGGGCTGAAATGATTTCTACCTATATGGCCCTCGTTTGGTCTTTTGGGTAGGAGCCAGTGTCGTTAGTTGAACAGGATACTGTCCATTCCAGTCTAGGAGAAGTTGATCGTTGTCTGGAGGCACTCATGTTGTGGTGCCTATCTACAAACAATCATTAGTCTACTCTTCCATATTCTCCTGTGCAGCTGACTACGATAGAAACTCGACCAGAGCATTAGAGAATGCGCTACACACTTCCTGGTGATGGGCCTTGTCATAGACCTTTGGTAATACCATACTGGTGAAAGGAAAAAAGCCTTCGCTGCGGAGTTATTTATTAGAAAATGCCAACTGACCAGTTGGAGACTATTGGACAGGGAAGGAAAACTCTCGTTTGCATCCTATTTACAACAACTGAACATCCATCTTCTCCTGAATGCGTCTTCTTGAACTTTCCTGGATATTCATTGCCTCCAATCATGCATTGCTCAGATCCAAGCAAATGCTACAAAGCGATACCACAAATTCCACGACAGATCTCCCCTTTCAAGAGACGCAAAGTGAATTTACAAGAACAAAACCTACTACTCGCACGCCTCCCCATCAGTAGTATCACTGTTACACTGGTATGGTGAATACCAAGGTGCCGAGCCAGAACTTTCGCCTCTTCTTCGGTTTCTTTTTATCAAACGTGCACTCAGCTTTACCTCCAAAGGCACGCTTATCCGGTGTTGGGCACCAACATACAATACTAGCCTCACCCCTGACAAGTGCATATTTAGCACATATCATTAGTGTGGCAGTCAAATCGATGGTTAACCAAACACAGTGGCTCAAATTTACCCGTAAACCTGCTCCATACAAATGTACACATAATTTTTTTGGGGCCTTTGGAGCTGTACATCCAGCTGGGGACCATGCCCGATGATGTCCGTCAAAAAATGTCTATTCTCATTCCTTTCTTACAGGAGAAAAATATATCCGGGACTCACCCATGAAAATCCGCACACTGCCCTGCAAATCTGGGATAAGACAGTCCGCCAAATGTTGGTTGATTGTCAAGACCTTGGTCCCCAACGATGCTATACTATTGTTTACGAAAAATTGGTGTTGTATCCGGAGCAAGAACTGCAGAAACTTCTAGGCAAGTGTCATACAAAACGTACTTACAAAGTCAAGGGTGACGAGTTGCTTGTTTAACCCACATTGTCAGAATATGACTCCACACATCAATGTTTATAAAACTCCCTTCTTGCCATCTGGTGGGATCTAACTATATCCTCAGCTGTGGAGATTCATAATGCAAGGAACAGCCGACAGGGACAACGATTATGCTATCTTATTTGTACAGTACAAAATAATACAACTGGCTGTTCTGAAGGCGTTGGATGGGCCTCTACCCTCCCTGTAGATCTTCCTCTAGATAACTACTACTTGTGTACATGGTTAACTAAGATATCAGCATATTTTCTCTGTCATCAAAGACACTGAGAACAAACAATTGTTATGCCACCTGGTCTGAATTGAACGTAAAATAAAAAGAGAGATAACTTTTGAGAACAATGTGGTCTTTAATTGTAAGACGAACTGATATAATTCATGAAGTAAACTTGCTATGTTTCGTCCGGCATTCCAAATGCGACTCTTTCTAATACAGGCGTAAAGTTGTTATGTCCAAAAATCCTTTTTTACGAAGCAATTTCATCAGGATGACAATGAACCGAATGAGGCATACTAAAAGCATACCATGTACTCACTAAACAACGGTGATCAACTGTTTCTCCAAAACAGAGTGAAAGTACGGTGGTTAAATTAATGACCACTGAAGCAGTTAAAAATCACTCATCTAGACCCTACATCCAAGCATGTTGCAGAAACCTCTTCTGAGCTTGCATCTTGTATCTGTGGAATCGAAAGAAAATTCAGTTTGACCTGCATCCATTGCATTCATGGAATCATGCCAAAGATGAAACTGCCGAGGTGACTCAGATTCTCGATTCGGTTGAACTCTCGGCTTAGCTAACATACAAGTAGCAAGCAAAATTAACGTACCGAACCATTTTACTGATGAACGTAAATCCACGTGAGTTTTTCGTTGCAGAGTTGGTGCCTGTGGACGCGACTTACAGTGATTTTATTGGAAAAAAGAGCTTTCACATTTGAGCGCACTAGATTTTGTCCAAAGGGTGAAGCAACCATTCCTGTGTTTGTCAGTTTCTCTGACTATTAGCAAAAACCAAGATAGCAGGATCTGACGTTCAACACATGCGGTCCTTATGTTGATGCATGATCTTCGCAGCTGCGTATCTGGAAGATTCGGTGAAATCGGCAAAACTTTCTATCCTGAAAACGCGCACAAAAAAGTCATGTTACCAAATGGTCCGGAGAAGGCAATCCCTTTTCTCAAAATGAGACATATCCTTTGAAGAAAAGACTTATCACACAACTGCGGAGAGATGTTGGGCACTCCACAAAATCTATACTTTTGATCCTGTTTGACATTTTTTTCTCAAGCAGCCAATCAAATGAAACTAAGATTCGTTACTAAATATCCAACCAGTTTCGTATTCGAAATGGAGAGAGTTCATTGTGTGTGATTCTATTTTTATTACTCTAAATTTCAATTTACCAGATTAATCAATGGCTCATTTATTTCATGGCATCCGTCGAGTCTTATTGATAATACCGAATGAGAATACATGACTGGGTTCCAAAATCACTGACGAATTTTCATATAATGAATCTTTAGTAAGCATAATACGTCACCACCAATGGGTTCGAGACAAGAAGAAATCAAATCTGAGTGCGATAAATCTGGTTAAATTTAAGTAATAATTTTTTCACAGTCTAATCACACTTTACATTTCTCACCAGGCTTTTTGGAGGTTCCGTGGGATCCGATCGTTCTCAAGCATGAAACAATTCTGAACAATCTGTCCTACTTGAATCCGTGAGTCTCTCCTTGCCTGCCAGCTTCCGAAAAACGTCATATCCTCATTTTATGGAATACTTCCTTATGCTTACTGTAACCAGAGACATGAAACTCAGCACCGTTACTTAAATAGGTCATACTATTAATAATTTTGCAGCTGAGGACGGTTACCGTTATAGCATGAAATCCTCGGGAGTTATAGGTCGACTGATAACAGAATACAGATAGGGTGCACATCGCTGCTTCGTTTGCAATGAAAGAAGCAGATTGAAAAATAGCAATATTGCACCGTATAGTATGGCACAGTATAGTACCATTGTATAGTAGTAGCACAGTAGTAAGATAATGTTGTAGTAATAATAGTATGACAGGCATTGTACAGCATAATTTACTGCAGTATGACATGGTATGTTACAGAGTCATGTGAGACGGCAGACAAGAATTTTACAGACTGCTTAAAAGAATGATTTCGTTTTCCATTGGGTACAGAAAGTATCATTGCTGCTCCATTCCACCGGAACCCAATAAAATCATTTTGTACGCGCGGAATAACTGTTAAGGCTTAATGTGATACAGATAACATGGGTAAGTGGCGACTTCCTCGATGTGTTTCGAACATCAATGATGGCCAATTATGCTGACCAGTTATGCGGTTTCTTGGTCGACTGTAGTTTTACTCTTGCAATGGGATCAGCGGCTGGTGTTTCTATTGAAAGTGTGCACGGTGTAACACAGACAATCCACAACAAGGCTAGTTAGTGGGGTGAATATAGTGTCTGCCATTACACACAACAAGTAAGCAACTAGTAGTCACTACGACTGAATTGTAATTTTGTCAACACAGTTTCAGTTGGTTGAATGGAGATTCCAAGCTATTCATCGTATGTGACAAAATAATAAGTCTCGCATTCACTACCAACAGTTCAATTACCCGACCACACCATTTGCTGCTTCTGTCAGTATCCCACGTATCAAAAAGTACAACTCAAAGCACACACTTGTCCTAAGTACGTCAGTCATCTTATGAGGGTAAGTATGGGAGATACTTTTCGAAGAAAGAAAACAGGTTCATTTCCTGAAACCAACTTAGATTTTGCGGCAAAAGTTTCACCGACCGTTCCTCAACAATAGCTGCCCTCGTTTACACTTCTCGGAATCACGGAGTGTCAGTGCAAAAAGTATTCATTACATTCCAAAATGTCTTTAAAAACCCTGGCAGGAAACTTAGTCTAAAAGGGAAATTCAACTTGCAGCATTACACTCAGTACTTAAAGTCGAAACTGTTAACGTGCACTCTTAAATATGAGGGGTCTCTTGGCGAATCAGTAGGTGCCTACCCCAAAGTGATTAAAGACCAAACAAACTCCCTGTCAACTAGGTTTCCCACATCTTGCACGACTTACTACTCAGCCGATTTAGACAGTTTGTTGAGAGCGATTACTAATGTGCACTATCGATTTTTCTTTCGTGTTCTGTAGTATACTTAATCGAAACTCGATATTCTGATCAATCATCCTAGAAGCGCTTCAAAGCTATTGTATGCTTCATTTTTGTGCAAAATGCCACATTCTTTCGTGGTACGCCAACTAATCCCAATCACAAACATGATGGAACGTCTGTTTAAGGTGAATTAACTGTATATCACTGTGTGTTTAGTTGTGAAGTCTCAGAATGCTATGTTTGGAAAGTGGCCTTGTTTTTTGTCTTACGCTATCACCTTCTACTTCTATTTTGATTTCATTCACAGTTACGAGGCCAGTACAAAACAATTCTCAAGAAAAATAAATACAGACTCTCTGTCCAAATGGGCTAGCTCCGAGTCAATTTTGCCAGACTGGTTCAAAGCTCAAGCAGTGGATTACTCAAGTCTACTACATGAATTGGAATACGACAAAGTTGGAGTCCCGCCCGACTACAGTAAACTCCCTGAGGTTCTTCCACACATTCGGTAACTTTTTCTTGCACATCGTCCTGTACTTTCTTGTTTGGCGCATCACGAATGTATCATTCCAGATGATTGTGAACGCAAAATATCCGCGTTGTGTCAATTTTTCCATGAAAATTCTTTCTCTGCTGCATTCAGTCAAAACACAAAATATTTTTGATACACGCAATAATTAGTTCTCTTATGTCAGCCTTATCAGGACGTCCTTGTCCTAGGTTCGATCGGAAAATTCTTGAAATATGCAATAGTCATTTCACTAACAGAGATTCTAGATGGGCCGAACCAAACGGGACTATCCTATGAGAAAATTCTCGTATGAAGGATCAGACAGACAGAGAAGTAGCTTATTACCTTTCATCAGCCAATGCAGAGGCCTTCTCAATTTTCGGAAAGGATGACTCAGTCACAGTGGTTTTCGGTTTTCAAACCTAGGCTGACTTACTACGTGGCGTGAAATCAGGATTGTAGACTGAAGAGGGCGTTTAATTGACCGTAAAATACAGCTAATCATAAAGCAACTAAACAACTAAACAACCGACCAATCCGAAGTTAACGCATTCCTTAGGCCCATTACCTTATTCGAAATGCATGGTTAGGTGGAATAGGTTGCCGGTTTGAAAGATCATTGGCACTATCTCGTATTTGAATGCAAGTAGCCAAAGCTGATAATCAGTGATCCGTGCCCGGATGCCAGAATAAGCGAACTCCCATGCATATTCAGATACCCCGTTCTCTTAAATCGTCTGTCAACAAATATAAGACACAAGTACGGTGCTTATTATCTTTTCGGTGTAAGATGAATTGCATTTCTGAAAGTTCAAAAACTCTTTAGGTGAAAAAGAGTTTCAGTAAGTATTCTTTTACCTGAGCTTCTCAGAAAAACGGTTGGCGGTATAATGATTCTCTGCTACAGTATGCCAGCCCACTCCCCTAAATTCCAAATGACAATGAACTGTAATCCCTCTTGGATGTCGCCTGATTTGCATCGGTCCTTCACAAAGGATAATCTCTAAGTTCACTTAATTCCATCCCGTCGCTATGCTGCATTTTACTCTCAAGATAGTTTTTGTTTGAACTCATCAACCTGAAAAAGACTACTGAAGAAAAACCGGGCATGACATTCCCAATGCGTTGACTGCGGCAGGAATATGATATACACGTTTGCCAAACAGTGTAAAACAATCTGTTATACCTCGATTCTATTTGGTTTAGGTTACAAATTTATCCGCATGGAATCACTTGTTCTTAGAAGTTTGCCATTACGTGACAACCAACTTCCGTGGCAGAAAATCAGGTTTTCATTAAAGCGAACCAATTCAGTAGTGTGGTTAAGGAGTACATCGGTTACATTTCGTAGCAAAATTTCAGTCGCGTCCGTGCTACTTACAAAACTACTGAAAGGATACCAATCACTGTCGCGGACCTACATATGCCGCGGTTTTTAATTGGCCCATGGAGTGCGACATATTACAGACTTCAGTGTGGTTATTGCATCCAAGATTCCAGTACAGCGATCAATGCATTCACTGTGCACAACAGCATTAGAATTCACAACGCAATGCCTTCCTGCCCACCCATACAGACTAGGCAAAACCCGACAGGTGGGCAAGTCAGAACGCTGAGTAACTGATATTAAACAAATCTCTTTGGGAGATCTGTTAGTGTTCTCTTTTGTTAACAACAAAAATCGCTTGATAAATCAGAAGAGACACTAATAAAGCCTGTGTTTTGAGAGAGAGTGAGGTTACAACAACTAGGTGCGCCTTAATCAAGTCAAATACAATACCAGAATAAAAAGGTTCAAACGGAGGACTTATCGTTCTGAGTGTAAGTTGTAACAGTTCCTCCGGGTTCGTTTGAGTGCAGGTAATCGTGTTTCTGTTGGCAGATTCACTGCTATACGTTCCTGGTTGTCCGCAGTTTTTGGTGTGTTGAGCCGGTCTGTGTTCTGACGCACGTGTTCTGTCCCTATACATATGTCGCTGCAATGTGGGAAACGTGAAAACAATAATGTGAAATCACCTGGCTTTCTTCAAAAGGCCATGGAACGGGATTTGACGTTGTCGCATTCATGTCACGACGTTCACGCGTGATTGTGAGACAGACAAAACGGAATGGGGGTAGTAGGCGCCGGTGTGAAATTGATTAGAGGAATGATTAAGCAGAAGGGTAACCGTCACAAATACTCCCCCTGTAGAGAGGGGTCATATAGGCGCCGTCATCAGTCAAGGTTGCGGACAAGTCACGTCTTGTCTCGTGATGCACGCTGTGGGATGTAGAACAAAACAGAGCACGAGGGAGACAGTGGATGCGGATGCACTAATCAGATTGGACGACCGCTACAGATCTCTACCGCAGACTGCCTTGCCCGTGGCCCCGGGAAACAAAAGGACCGTGGTTGTGCACTCCAAGCCAAGTTCGCAATCCTCACACCCCTGATGGACTAGGAATGTAAATTTTTTGCGGAGCCACGTCATTCCAGAACTAACAGTTGGAACTTGGGACATCGAAAGCCTAATGGATAAAGATAACATTGATCCTAGAACGTAATTATTGAACCAGAACTCAACCGGTACAAATCTGGTAGTGTAGCGTCGAGTGAGACAAGACTATAGCCGTCTATACTGAATACCTTCCGGATTTTCGACTAATGAGTCATTGTTTTTTTTAACAAACATGAGCTGCCAACCATCTAGGTAGTTGAATCCCAAGTCTCTTCCATATAAATCATATCCAGATAAACTGAAACCGTCTAGAGGCTATGTTCAGACATCGCACCAACACTTGCATGTCAACTGTCCCATTAATGACCGTAATTATACTATCGCAACTTGTACTCGAAAATTGGGATTCAGTATATAATCGGCCTCCATCACGTGCCTCCGTTACTTATTCGCCCGGCCTTCATTTGTTTGGAAACCTACGTATTGACTCTGAATTCTCTACCGCATCTAATAGTCATTCGAGTAAGGATAGAATGTTCCATACAGCCAGTCTTCATTCAAAATCAGTCAAGAGTGATTTTGGATGATTACCTTTCTGTGACCAAAAGTCATTCTGCAGCAATTGCTAGTGCATAGGTGGTGATAACCATGATACATGCACTAATAAAAGTCTTTACTGTGGTTGACAGTAGTTTACAGGAGCGATTTGCAGCATGTATAAAAATAAAGGCAGTATAAAATGTGCGCGCGCGCGAGTCCGTGTGTTGACTGTGTTGGTTTCCCTAATAAGTAGGTCCGTTT